CAGTGTAAATTCCCCTCTATGCCCACCATCTGCCGTGTTGGAACCACAGAATCTAGGAAGTGAAACCCAAGGCCTGAGTGAAGAGGACTGATAGAAGCAATCAGGAGACCCTCCCAATCTCTAATCATAAGGATAGTTTTAGGGATGGACAGTAGCCCAGACCTGAAACAGCAACCACTGGACATTGTGCTGCTTACCAACTTGGTTTAGGAATCAAGCAAGTTGACCTAATCTGAGGAAGTTCAAGCTTTTTGTTCAATGAGTGGGCCAAGGGGAAATCTCTTGGGACATGTGGTGAATGAAGGGTGGTGCAAGTCTTCCCCATACCAAATCCTGTGGATTGTATATCCACTATCCTCTTCGTATTCACACATGTGATTATTTCAGGCTTGCAGGATCTTTCTCCTGACTCTACCTGAATTTCTTCAACCCCACTCTGTAGACCTAGAATGATCTTCTCAAATGACAGACTGAATGTGTCATTCTCCCACTCAAAAGTTTTTGATATCTGCTAGCATGGAACACAGTAAGCAGCCTAAGCTTTGAAGACAGACCATTTTGAAACCTAGCCCTGCCCCCAAACTGTGTGATTTGGGGCAAGTTTCTTTTCTCTTTCTTTCTCTCTTTCTTTCTTTCTTTCTTTCTTTTTTTTCTTTTGATTGGTTGTGGGTCTTGAACTCTGGGCTTGGGCACTGTCCCTGAGCTCTTCAGTTCAAGGTGAGTGTTCTACCACTAGAGCCACAGTACCACTTCCGGTTTTTATGGTGTTTTTTTTTTGAAGATAAGAGTCTCACGGACTTTCCTACCCGGGCTGGCTTTGAACCATGATCCTCAGATTTCAGCCTCCTGAGTAGCTTGGATTACAGATATGAGCCACCAGTGCCCAGCTGGGGCAAGTTTGCATATCACTTAACTATAATGGTGAGGATTTCTTTGGTTACCAGTGACAGAAAATTAAACTCTCGAGACAAAAGGTAAAGATTAATTCAAATGACCAACTAACTAAAGAACACCAGTATAGTCAGATTTAGAGGATAGATTTAAAAAAAAAACCCTCACAAGTGACCTGTTTCCACTCTCTTCTCCCCTCACTGGGGGTAGGTGGGTCATCTATCCATCATAATTCCTCTCTGTAATTGAGCTTTGTTTTGTTAGGTTGGTGATTTAGAAATGCCCAGTAGCTTTTAAGCCCACATGATCCAGTTTAAGTAGTAAATAAAAAAAGGAGAAACTTGTGGTGTGAATCCCACATTCAGAATTTGGAGAAATAAGTGTGGCTTGTCTCTTTTTGGATCAGGTACCGCCTAGGTGAGTCAAAAGGGCAGAGTGAAAGATGGTAGCTTCTAGTTAAACCATACATGGCAAAGATGAAACTGGAAGAAGTAGATGGTATTGTTTTGGATAGACAAATCAATAGCTATTCTCTACAAATTCTTACCTTGCTCTGCCATTTTGGAGATGAAGTAGTATGTCTTATATCCATGAGCATCAAGCACCCAGAGAACTTTGCGTACAGTACATAGCTCCTCAAACTCTGTGCTTCTGAACAAGCAGAAGTCACATCTGTGATAAGAAATTGTACCTCTTTTTGTAATGAAATCAGAGTTGCCACACTTGTGGGTAGTGTGTGGGCCAGATCTCTCCTTCAGATCTCTTCCCTTAGCCCTGGCCTTTCACCTTTATATGAAACACAGGCTGCCAAACCTGGGCAGGTTCCTGTTCTCTGAAGGTTTCACATGACTTTGAAAAGGTCTTGGACTGACTGCATTATACGATACCCAGGTTTAATACAAACCAGTGCCAGTATACCACTAACCCTGCCCTCTGCCACCTCAGATGTAGCAGGAAGTTCTGTATTCTTGCCCTTCCCAGGCCTTCTCCCCTCATCCTATCAGCCTCATAAGCCAGCGACACCACTTCTGCAAATCCTTCCTCGGCACACCCACGGCTATGCACTGCCACCTCCTCTGCACTTCCAGAAGCCTGTTCTTTATTCTCTACCACCGAACTGATCACATTATATAGTAATTATCTGTTTGCTCATCAGTTCCTTTCCGCTCCCCCTCCAGTGGCTATGGCTTGCCAGCTCTTCCTTCACTGCCCAGGAATAAAGCCTGGCTTCTAACAGAACTCAATGCATGCTTGTTAAATGAAATACTGAATGAATCAATAACAAGGAGGAAGGAGGGAGTCGTGGAAAAAGAAAAGGAGAACACTCCATAGAAAAGTTCACTGTTCTTACACAGACCTGAGTCTGTTTCAATTCAAACAAAAGGGGGAAAAAGCAGGCAGAAGTCTATGAGATACTTAGAAACAAAGTTGTTTCCTGTCTCTCAAAATCATTGACATTTGAGAACTTTTTTTGCCACTTGCAGTATTGTTTTCTTTGATTTTGGGAAAGTCGGGTTCCTATAGGGGTCTGTTTGATTATTCCTGCTAAAGCTGGCAGGGGCCCATGAGAGAGGGGCATTGCAGATTACCCCCCCCCTTTTACCCCACATCCACACCAGAGGATCAGCTCCAGAGTTCTAAGTATTCTTGGCAGTCTGTTTGGCATTACTGTGGGCCAAAGGAATGAGGTCACTGTCGCCAATGAAGTCACCATTGCATGATTCATCCCACATCAGTTCCCCACTTGGAGTGGTTTGACATTTCCAGAGCTTTTCCAAGTGTCCAGAGTCTGAAGTCCCAAGGAGACAAACTCACATTTATACAATAGGAAATTGAAGCTCAGAGGTACTGTGGGACAGGCTCAAGATAACACCACTCACTTGTGTCAGAGACACTTTCTTGGCTAAGTGCCCTCCCACAGCTCCTAAATCTCTCCCATAGACCCTTCTTTCAGAATACTAGCCCCAGCAAACTCTGCTGACTCAAATGGGCCTGCTGATAAAGAAGGAAAAGCTCCCCTCTCCTCTCTAAAAGAAAGCAGCAAAGCTGCATACTGGTGGCTCATCCCTGCACTCCTAGCTACTCAGGAGGCTGAGATCTAAAAGATGGATGTTTGAAGGAGACAAATGTAAGAGACTCGTCTCCAATTAACCAGCAAAAGGCCAGAAGTAGAGCGGTGGCTCAAGTGGCAGAATGCCAGCCTTGAGTGAAAAAGCTAAGGGACAAGCACCTATGCCCCAAGATCAAACCCCAGCACCGCCACACACAAAAATGGCAAGCCTTAAGGCGAACTGTACTGTTTTTCTTAGCCCATCGTTCAGTACATATGTAGTATTTTCCTGAGTTATTGAACATCATAAAGCAGCCAAAACCAACCCCTACACTTAAACAAAGTGGGTGGGGTCTGGAGAGATGCTTAATGTGAAGCCACAAGGAACTTCCAATCATCTTCAAAGTCTTCCCCCGGGAAATGGAAATGAGATTCAGGTTTGAGAATTGAGGCCTAGGATGGGGATGAGTAAATGAAGACCTAACATGGGCATTTTCTCCAATGTGCCTCAAGTCTGTGAACACCACCAGTAGCTGGAAACCTTTTCCTCACCTAGAACCTAAGGGAGGGTCCTACTGACCTCTACACCTGCTGTCTTTCCACACAGCATTTTCTGCTGGCGTGAATCGATGAGAGGAAACGATTTCCCTCCGGTCAGCAAGTTAGAGATGGGGTGCGGTGTCTGTGTGGAGGGCGCCCTCGCCTCAATGCCCGAGGTTCAATGCAGGGTTCTTGGCCCTAGCCAGACCGTGATGTTTCCAGTCTTTGCCAGACAGCGGGGATCGGGGTTGCTGCCTGGATCACAGGCCAAATCTTAGAGCTCTGGTGTTCTAACACTTCTCAGGGATCGCAACCCACTACTTTGGACACTTGGGACCAAAAGGGGGCCTCGGAGAATGTCGCCTCCAGGGGGAGCACAGGTACATCGTCCAGCCCCAAGCCCACAGGGGTCATTTTTTTGTGACTGCTCAGAGGGTGCTTCAGTGGTTCAACACGATGTGGTCTCCCTTAGTTTTTCAGTTTCCCAGGAAAACGATCGCCAGGCGTGGGGCGGCGATGCGCGATCGCGCAGGAACAGGACTCCCGGCTTGGCAGCTCGGAGGCCCGCCCCACTCCCACGCCACTCCGCGCTCCTCTCCAGTTGTGGCTGCTGTTGTGTTTTGAACCCTCTTGGCCTTGCTTTCTTCCTGATTTTCCAGTTCCGTTGTGCACTTAGCGGCTCCCAGGATGGCCCTGGCCTTCCGGGTGGAGTTTAGATGTACGTGAATAAATTCGCCTGGCTATTGCGTCATCGCTGAAGTCGTCTTGGTCC